TATAGACATTTTAACTTGAATTAAGTTTTAAAAAGTGCTAATTTAAAAATCAAATCGACGCGTGTAGATAAACAAAGATTTTATACAATTAGAAAGACTGGTAATTTTAAATTTTAACAAGCAGTGTAACAGCTACGTGAGTGATACACACCTGATGATGGCCATTTAGGGCCGAAACATGTAGTGTGGAGGAGGAAAAGAAGTAAAAACTACAATAAAATTTGTTGCACTTAAGACGGTATTTATCCATATATATTGTGTGAGTGTAACAGGATGCTGAAATATAATATTGCTCCACGTATTAATAACGCGGGAGCTATACAAGTCTCCCTGAATTACACATTTTCACTAGTAACATGCCGCTGGCTAGTAGGCTTGCTCGGAACTAACTCGTAGGTAGCTGCATTGAAAACTCACTGTGGATAGCCTTCGCTGCTCCTTATGTAGCCTCGATCGGACAATACGGAAAACGGCCACGTAATAGGCACCCTTGTTGCCTGGCGCTGTGTTGCTAGTAACACTAGCGGAAGTAACCGCTGTTACTACCGTCGTCTCTCGCAATCACTGTTTACCCGCGCTGCCTAGCAACCCGCGGTACCCTTGGTGACGTCATCGCTGTTGACTCGCCTTGCATAGCGACCAGGATGCTAGGACTCGGCTAACGTCTGCTCCGCTCGTGACGTCACCGCGGGAAGAGTTGCGGGGTGATTACTCACCTATTACGCGAGCGCTATGTTACCGCTACGTGCAGCTGGGGAGGTAGGGGTCAACATGTCACAATATGTTACAATGTTCAGACAATACCCTTGCTTCACAGTATGCATAACAATGGATCATACCATCAGCAAACAGAACTTACTAGGCTCAATTTCAAAATGCTACATATGTAATGAACTCCTTTCAGCACATCAAGTAATAAAAGAATGCTTAAGTTCATAAAGCATCGTACCTCATTTTCAGATTCAAACAGAATCTGATCATACTCGCTTAAAGCGACTAAGAAGATTATGGAGGTGACATTTTCAAAACAGTGGATCCATTTCCGTCTTTCCGAACGCTGCCCTCCTACATCCACCATCCTGAAATATGAATAAGAGAAGGAATGAAGTACATAAAAAGTATTTTTCTTCACGAATGTTTCTAAATGCACAACATTATATCTACATTTTAGGTGCTTGCAAAAATAATAATAATTACATTTCACATATAATTAAATATACTAAAGCCAATTTTTAGGCCGCGCCATAGCCCAAGCGGTGGCCTGGGTTCGATCCCGGGTCTGATCAAGTGGGATTTGTGGTGGACAAAGTGGTGCTGGGGCAGGTTTTCTCCGAGTACTTCGTTTTCCCCTGCCAATCTTCATTCCACCAATTGCTCCACAATCAACCTCACCTATCATCTGGGGCTGGTACAATAGGCCAGAAGTGGCCGCAGTACAAGGGACTTAGTCCCACCCCACTAGCAATAAAAAAAAAGCCAATTTTTAATTTATTAGTTGATTGAGATAAAGAATTCTATTCCACGCTATGTTACCTTCCAAGCACAAAAGACTATTCAGCAAGAATGATATACTTCTATGATACATGTTATAAAACAGAAAGCAGAGAACACATCAAATTTTGAACTGGTACTAAATTAATTACCAAATTTAGTTTCACAACTATCTTTCAAAAGAACACAATCCACTCACAGAACTCTTCTGAAATAACAGAACACAAGTGAAATATTACTGATTCCTGACCATGAAAAAACATTATCTGTGAGGTAATGAGAAACTGTTTCATGCATGAGTGACTTTTATACATCCATAAGGAACATTCTTAAAGCTATTCAAACTAGTAAACACTAATTTCTTATGTTATGCTACCTGTTACCAATCCTCATGCAAATACATAAATAATAAATTTAAAGGAACTGCAGAAAAATTGCTAAAATGCCACAACAAAGTAAAATCAGATCAAGTTTCAAATATCTGCCAAACACAATCCAAGATATCAATATAAATTAAAAAAACACCATCTCACACACATAAACCAAAAACTTCTTGTAAAATGAAACTGTTTAGACTATAATGTTACAACAATATACAGTCTTATTTCTACAATCCCACCACCTGTCCTGTAAAGTTTTTACAGTGGTCGCAGTCAGTTGTAAAAATGTGGTTACTGTATATTGTGTGTCTGCACCATAGCTCAAACAGTTAGTCGCTGGCTTCCCACAGCGGCGGTCCGGGCTTGATCCCGGCTCTGGTCAAGTGGGATTTGTGGTGGACAAAGCTGTGCTGGGGCAGGTTTTCTCTGAGTACTTTGGTTTCCCTTGCCAATCTTCATTCCACCAAATTCTACATCATCATAATCACCCGCAGCCGGTACAAGAGGTCAATCAGTGGTCACCATGCCGAGTGGATCCAGCTGGACTCCACCCCCCACTAAGAGAATTACTGTATATTATTAAATTTTGATGGAAAATTATGGCATTATACATAGTATAACACATTTTAATACTCTGTTAAACTAAAGTTTGCACACATAATTAGGGACATGGAAAGCTTTAGAAAGCTGCAAGCTGTTCTTGTAATCATAACAGAAAGCAAGATGAAACAGTATAGCACATTAACACATTGAAAGTAATTCTGAAGTTACTGCTAATTACAAATACTGCTGGTTGCTATATGCTAACATTCACATTTAATTAAGCATGCTTCCCAAGCAAACAGCCATCACAAAGTCTGATTCTGTACACACATTTAAAATTAACTTCTTGTATCACTGAAAACATTTAACATGCTGGAAATGTAAACAAATACATGCAGTGTCAGCATGTTCTCTTATCCTGTCGTCGGCAGTATCATTACAGCAATAAGGAAACGACCTCTCTATGCATTTACATCTGGTTAAACTGTTGCAGGGAAAGATGTTTTTGTTGTAAATGAGTGACAAAATAACCAAAATGATCCACTGGTATGTGAAAGTTAAAGGAACATCATCAGGGTTACTAGGAAAGCAGCCAGAACCAATGCAATAATTTTCTTCAAGTATTCAGAATTTCAAGGAATTGGGAGAGCTTAGTATAGTGACAAAGTTGTGGGTTTCACTGTGGAATTTGGGTTATATTTTTGGTGGGGACAGATGTCTTAGTCTAAACATTGATCAAACTGGCTCTATGGCTCATCCAATCCCATCCAGTGGATACTGGTTGCCGTTTATTGTGTGTAGGTGGCTGGGGTGTGAAGCTCACCACTCACCTCCATTCGGTGCATTAAGAATGCATGGAGCTATACCTCTACTCCCCCATAGGTCTTTATGGTGTGGTGCTTAATTTAGCACAGGGAGAATAAAAAATTTAATATATCAATGACCTGAGTGAATGTCCTCTGAAATGCTGCACCCTGGAGTCAGCCTGACATCTCAGAGGAAGATATTTTCTCTGTTTCAAGGGTCAAAGAGTAAGCCAAGGAAGAAATGAGCAGAAGGAAGCAGAAAAATTTGATATGTTCCATTCTGGTCCATCACACTATCAATATCATAAGAGGTTAAATAGTTCCGCCCAGTGTGACGAGTAAAGATTTTTCTTATTTCAATCCTTCATCACTTACATGTTTCGGTCTTTACAGACCATCTTCAGAGGGACCTCAATACAATCGGAAGCCACCATTACAATATATTTTTGAATGTTGAAATATATACATATAATGTTATTAAAATACAATGGATATAAGATCTAAAGTTTTAACTACAGCGGCTGTCTTAATATGTTAACATATTTACAATATTTACATTTACAATATTTAAATTTACATATTAAGACAGACACTGTAGCTGTTAAAACTTTAGATCTTGTATCCATTGTATTTTATCAACATTATATATATATATATATATATATATATATCTTTTAACATTCAAAAACATATTGTAATAGTGGCTTCCGATTGTATTAAGGTCCCTCTGAAGATGGTCTGTAAAGACCAAAACATGTAAGGGATGAAGGATTGAAATAAGAAAAATCTTTACTAGTCACACTGGGCGGAACTATTTAACCTCTTATGAGGCAGATAAAGTTTCACTCAGCTTACCCTTCAGCACTGAAGATGGTACTTACATGTTTCTCCAAAACAACAGGCACGTGCAGAACTACACAGTCTTACAACCCAGACCACCATACTCCTCTTAGCCACCACCACAAGACCCTCAAACCCAATGTCCTCTCAAATGTTCTCGTACACTTAAAATATGCTTCCCACTGGAGGAACTACGACATTTTAAGTGACACCACTGTACTGGGGTTTACTCAGAACATAACAATACACAACAGTTCACAGCTATTTCTTTATTTCACTCCAGATCAAAGTTAACTGTATTATTAACCAATAACACCATAACTCACAATAATACTCTATGTACAACCAATATGCTTAGATAATGCATTACAATATGAAAGCCAAAGCAAAGGAGAAATCTGGTAGCCAGATAAATAGCAAGCACTTACCCAGATGCAAACATTATAATGATCTGCCCCAGAATTGAACCACAAAGAACAAAACAAACGCAACAATTACAGCTTCACTTCATATACCCAGAGAAAGGGGAATTTTTGCGAAATAAGAAATCAATTTGCACATTTCCCTCTTGAAGTTATAATGAATGACATGAGTTGAGAAAGCCTTGTTCAACTAGAGTAACAGGCCTATTCATTAATTATAGCCATCTACTTAAAACAAGAAGCACATTTAAAATGCAATTACAGTGGGAAGTCTCTGTATCTGTAAATCTTAAGAAAATACTATTCTGCTACGGTTTAAAAAAACAAACTGTCATTTCTTCAGTTACGCTTTCCACCACCAGTTCAAATTATTATCCATCATGAATGGTAAAACTGTATCTAATAAGAAAGAGTTCCCAAACAAGTACCATATTAATAAGTATTTGAAAGTCCATAATCTAGAATCAAAATAATATATGAATATTGTTATGGCCTGTATCTGTGGTCATAACTGAGAGGTCTGGCAAGGTGGCCAGGCAAGTACTCTTGTTCTCTGATTCATTCCAGGCCAGAAAACTGCAACCACTCGTCTTCCACCCCCAACAGCACATACTGTACTTTTCCCGTCTCCATAGCTGTGGTTAAGGTTCTAGTTTTGCAGTGGGAGGAGCAGCAGCAAATGCCATCTTTACTGTGGTCATTACTGCATTTACAGAGGTTTCAGTATTATTGTTATTGTTGTATTATCATTAACATCTGACCAACAGACAATCCCCTGCAGGCAATTCTGGAGCACCTTCCTTTCTATATTTCTATATTTGTGGTTCGCATTACTTCTTTTACCTTGAAGACAGGCCGCGCCATAGCTCAAGCGGTTAGTCGCTGACTGCCCACCGCGGCAGCCCGGATTCGATCCTGGGTCTGGTCAAGTGGGATTTGTGGTGGACAAAGTGCCGCTGGGGCAGGTTTTCTCCAAGTATTTCGGTTTCCCCTGCCAGTCTTCATTCCACCAATTGTTCCACAATCACCCTCACCTATCATCTGGGGCTGGTACAATAGGCCAGAAGTGGCCGCAGTACAAGGGACTTAGTCCCACCCCAGTAGCAACAAAAAAAATAATACCCTGAAGATGGAGGCAGCAGGTTCCACAGAAACAGCAGTACCCATCTACCAACATATATTGTGTCATAACTCAGAAGAGAGTCATTCATGCTTTCTTATTTACATGTTTTTGTTTGGGGCTCTTCCTTTATAATACTTCCATATATCCACGATACACATAATTCTGAGTGCCAGCCACCTGTTGTCTGTCAATGGCATTAAGAATTCCCATAGTACTAATGAATGAAATGTATAAGGGGCCCTTGCACCGCGACCACAGTGATCTCTTGTGCCTACCCTTCTGATCATCCCCTCAAGAATCCTGTGCTTCGAATGAAGTGCAGGATTTTGTACTTGGCGCAATCTTAAATAAGCTAAGGCCTCACATTCACACAGGACATGTGAGGCTGTTTCATTTTCTTCTTGACACCTCTCACAAGTACTAACAATGTTGGAGATTATAATCTTCTGCAGTATGAAACTGCTTATGAAAATGGTATGTAAGTAGAACTACAAGTAAGCCTTCACTCGTGAAACTTAACAGTACTAACTTTCATAAAATATATCCCAATATAAACATGGCTATCCCGAAGTCACTAACAAGCGCCAAAATAGGAGAACCTCAAGGGTCAATGTTGCTAGTATCAAAACCCATCATCAAGCATTATTAAGTGCCAGTTTTATCCACCTGCAATCTTCAAAACGTATCTCCCTAACAACCATTTTAATACTCAGAATCACTAGGTTTTTGGACTTTGTCCACTGTCTGCTATTCTAGACTAGCAGCTCATGTGTCCCATTTAATTTCAGTCTCATCTGGTTTTCCTTGACCTCCCTAATGGCATATTCTAATCCAAAATTGAAAAGCAGTGGTGATAAATCATCTCCTTGTTTTAGACCATTTTGGATAGAAAAATGTTTACCTATACACAATTTCTATAGGTTTCACTTAAACACATTTATGAAACCTAACTAGTTTCATGGGCACCCCAAACTCTATCAGAATACTGTACAATACCTCCCTCCTAACTGAATCATAGGCTTTCTTGAAGTCTATGAATAGCTGATATACTGCCTCCCTGTTTTCCCATTTTTCTCCAGTATCTGATCCCCAATAATTTCATCTGCATATGGACTGAACCTTGAGAGAAGGATATTGGATACAATTTTGTATGAAGTTAATAGGAGTGATATTCCATGACAATTACTACAGTCAGTTTCATGGCCTTTAGTGTAGACTAGTATAATAATACATCAAGCAATTCTTGCTTATTCCAAATATAATTAACGAGTCCACTGATCTGTAATGTTTCACCTCCTGCTTGAATCAGTTCTGCCAGAATTTGATCACTGCCTGGTGATTTATATTTTTCAACTTTGCAACAGCAACATCGACTTCAAAATGACAAGATCAGGTACTAATAGCTCAGCTGTATGTATTTATGTCTGCCTAACATCACTGAACTTATATACATTCAATAACTGAGAGAAGTAGTTCTTACACCTATTCAAAACGTTGTGGGAATCTGCAAGCAGATCACCATCTCATCCTTCACTAAGTTACTTCTAGGTTGCTAACTCCTTTTAAAATCTTTCATGCCTCTATACAGGTCTCTAATGTTCTTGTTCTCACTGTTCGCTGCAAGCTCATTAATTCACCTTACAGATATTCCCTCTTTTTATTCCTGAAATGCCTGCTGCTGACTTCACATCTTAAAACTGTTCAAATTATCCTCATTTATTTCGCTTAAATCCTGTAACTACTGCAAACTGGCTTGTTCCCTTTTATCTAAAAATTTTGAGCATCTTCTGCTACATCAGTTCATAATACGTAGGCAACAATTTTTTGTAAAGTAACATGCTTTATTATTGACAAACCAAATACACCACCTCAATCTACAGACCTTTATTTATTTTTCCACATAATCACCACTTCTTTGTACACACTTCTCCCAGGGCTCTGCGAGTTTGAAAATTCCCCTTCTGTAAAATTCTGTTCCAGCCATCCGAAGACGACGCACTGCTTTCTGAATTCAGCGTGCTTATGGAAGTGTGTGCATGGGTGCGAGCAGTGTTCGAAAATGGGTGAAACATTTTAAAGATGGGAACACCAGCATCGAAGATGAGCCTTGGAGTGGTTGTCCTCGAACAGCCTCAAATGAACGCAACAAGGAAAGAGTGGATGAGATCACTCAAGATGACAGACGTGTGACTGTGGACACAGTAGCCCGAGAACTTGGAATAGGGCACAGTGCAGTACAGGAGATGATTGAAAGCTTGGGCTATAGGAAAGTTTGTGCTTGTTGGGTCCTGCGTTTATTGACCGAAGAACACAAAAGGTCACATTGGAAGCAATTGCAAAGATGGGGTGGGAAGTTCTTCCACACCCCTCCTATAGCCCTGATCTGGCAGCCTCCAACTACCATCATGTCGAATTTGTGAAGGATCAGCTGCATGGACAACATTTTGAGACAAGGGAGGCAATTCAGAAAGCAGTGCGTCAGTGTCTTCGGATGGCTGGAATGGAATTTTACAGAAGGGGAATTTTCAAACTCCCAGAACGCTGGGAGAAATGTGTACAAAGAAGTGGCGATTATGTGGAAAAAATAGAGAAAGGTCTGTAGATTGAGGTGGTGTATTTGGTTTGTCAATAATAAAGCATGTTACTTTACAAAAAACTGTTGCTCATGAGTTTCAGTATGACCCTCATAATTCAAGACTCCCTTTGGCTGAAATTTTGATGTTCCCTCTAATAACTGCCCAAGTTCTATTAATATCCACCTCAGTGTCCAAGTTTTCCAAAGCTGTGAACCTATTTGAGATTTCAACATGATACTGCTCCTTACCATCTACCTCATTTAATTTCTTGAGATTGAACTTCTCTACATTAAATCTTTTCGTTCTTTACTCACTGCCAGTCTCTCCCTAACTTCTGCCAACGCCAGACAGTGGTCAGTATAACAGTCTGCTTCCAAGGCATCAAGTACACTTGAATGCTGTCTCCAGTCTATCAAAATGTGGTCAATCATCAGGAGATATCAAAGTAAATTTATGAGTGTTATGATGTGGGATCATTGTACTTCTGACAGTCAGATTTTTGGATGTGGCAGTGTTTACCATTCTAACTCCATTATCATTTCTAATTTCATGCAAACTCTCATTCCCAATTGTTGGTTTATAAATGTCTTCTCTACCAACTCTGGCACTGAAATCTCCTAACAAAATTTTCATATGGTATTTAGGAAATTTACTGAATACACGTTTAGTTCGTTGTAGAAGCTGTCCTTCATATCATCAATTTTACCTTCTGTTGGGCCATGAAAATTCAGAACAAACATCACACCAATGACTTCTTAGTATTATGTACAACAGCTTATCAATAACAAACTCTATCCTCCTAACTGCTAATATGATTCTCCTATGTACACACACACACACACACACAAAAGGGGGGTACATAATTCATGATTCTCAATCCCCTTTACACAGGAAAAAGTATATTCGCCTGCTGGTTCGGTGCCACTCATCCAATCAGACCTGTACTCCCACTAAATCTAACTTACATTTTGATACTGTAATCAGACTAAGCAAAACTGTAGGATCCTACATTAACTGGTGCTCTTCACATGGTCATTATGTTGGAATTATCTGTGACAAGAAGTTAAAAATGGCCTGATGTTCACACTAAGTTTCACAAACACCTGAAATTAATTCATAAGTTACTGGGAAGATCAAACACACAGACATGACATCATAATAAGCCTTTCCTTATAAAATGAGGTAAACTGACAAAAAATTCATATTTTCAGAAGCAAAAAATGTACGTAACAAAATGTCCCTAAGGATTTCCCTTGGCATTTGTGAACACAAAATAAAAGGATTTTTTATTAATAGAAATTTTTAAGAAGTGTGTGCAGTGTTAATTTTAGTCAACCACAGAAATCAGGAAATCATGCATGACTGTAACCAAAATAATGTTCAGAAAGACTCAAAAAATAAATTAAAACAGCAGATAAAATAACCACAGTTTTTAGTTGTGTAATATCCTTAACCACAACTTCAGATTATACAGCAAAAACCTCCATCACCATATTACTTAATTAGTTCCAGTATTTCATACATAAATTTCTGGTACTTGTCAGTCCACCATGCTAAGTATAAAGTTATAAAAACATCACAGTAAATTTTGAAAAGTGAATGGCATACATACTCATCCACAAGTCAATTGTACACACGATGTAGATTAATGTGGTTAAAAAGTGTACTGTCTCCAGAGATGTACCATCATGTAGTCTGGCAGGAGTCCACTGATATTGTGGTGGACTTCTGCTGGACTACATAGTGTTACATCACAATGCTACACTTCACAGTCACCACTGCAACAACCTCAAAAATCCAACACTGGCTAAAACTGAACTTTCCCTGTACACCCATGTTAGATCTGGAATACAATATTTTAGTTGCTTTTTTTTTCATCTTAATAGCAAAAATAATACAATTACATCTTACAGGCATGTAAAATACATACATAATTCTTGACTAACAGAAACACTGAGCAATAATAACAAAACCAAGACCTCGGATTTCACATAACATAGCAAGGAATTATGAAACACGTTAACTTCAAAGTTTGCAACATGCCTAATAACACACACAATTTTATGATTACGCACCCTCTTAAAAATTATTTTCTTATTAGAAATACTTATTTGTTCTATTCTGAGTGCATAATACTTATGAATGGGAACTCCTGCACTAGAAGATTCACCAATCATGGTGGACTAATAGACCAACAAAAATCCCCTACTTTATAAACGAAATTTTACCTTATTGTGGACAATAAAGCAAATAAGCTATTTGTATTACCATCTAGCTGAACTACCAAGAATATGTACATGGAAGAATCTCTTTTAGACCTGTTAAAGGACTTTCAATAAAGACAAAAAAAAAATATGTTTCTATATCCTGTTAAATAATTCCTACCTAAAAATGATGGAGTCCAAATCAAAAGGGTACTCTAAAATGCCTGTGGTGGGCGCTCTGGCCCTGAGAATGTCCTGCTCGGTTGGGAGGTACTCTGCCTTCTCAATTCGCTCGATATCACTCAAGTAGCTGCAACAACGAGAAGGAGGGGGCGAAGGCCCCGGGAGGGCCTTGTCACCACAAGACACATTCACAAACACACATAGACATAACAACATGCACAGAGCTACATGAGGCTTTTACAAAGTTGGCCATTAATGTGGGTAAGGAAAGGAGGAAAAAATTAAAAAAACACAAGTACAATTTATCTTCTTTTTAATTCAAAAACACACTGTTGTATTTCTTTGCATGTATGGTGCAATCTGGTCAAACAGATTCAACCGTATGGATCTTAAAGACAATTTTCCACAACATCCCTATTCACGATACTTATCAGAACAAGAACAGATGCTGGGGCAGCTCCTTCAGTGTTACGATCAGGCTACGTGTTGGATAACTAAGGAAGTGAAGCTCCATTCCTACATGGGCCAAGAGATTCCCATTTCTCCATACCTTCAACACTGGCACTGGGAACCACCTATCCTTCTATTCAGTGATATCAGGGGCTCCTAACTGGTGGTAAATCATCACTGGCATCAAACTGACCATTCACCGTAATCTAGTGCCACATCTGACCCCTGGTACGGTGACTAATGAAGTAATGAAACGACTTTAACAGCTACAACTGAAATTCCTAATCAAAGAGAGTACAGACTTTTGCATTGCTTCTTATCACCAGAGGGTAAAAAACAAGGTCAGATTTTGCATTTCCATTTGCATTTCCATGAGTAAATTCCATTTACTCATACGAAGTGTGGTATCAAAGTATTTATCTTTAGTGCCGAATGTACACATGACGTGTTAAACACTATTCATCACATCATTATACAACCACCAAAAATTATTTCAGACCAAAGTATTGCCCACAATCTTCAAAGACAGCCAAAAAGGGGAGTAAAAACTCACAAAATTGCACCTTACAGTAGAGAAATCTCAGCAAGTGAATTTTCACACAAATTATATGACCTAAACCTTTTTCTATGTTGTATCCTTTAACTCAAGCTAATGTCTAATTTATGCAGTGGCTTGTTTTCAATGTCACACAGTTCGCTGACACCTAACCTATCAGATATTAAACATTACCACATACATTCACCTAACCTAGATCATCAGATCTCCAACATCATCACATACTGACATAAAACCTAAGTTTTCAGAGCTTCACCATTATCAGATACTGACACAGGAAAGCCATCAGTGAGAATATACATCTGTTTCCAGTATATATTCAATTTTACTGTTGATACGAAGCAGTAAAGCATAGTACAGAACTTTTAAAGAAAAGTGTAATCATGCTAGAAAAACAAGTGCATTTATCACATGACCAATGAATTAAATACTGAACTAAGACTATCCAAAAAAATACAAAATAAAGACTGCTACAGTCCTATTTGCTTTATAATAGACATCAATCAATATCTTTGTCAAATCGTAACAGCCTATGTCATTTTAAAATGACATCGAAAACCAACACTTCCTGCCTTCTGCATAAACAGAATAATGATAATTAATGTATTAATTAATGCCACATTCATATAAATAGGTGAAATATGAAACAAAAGGGTGTGCTCTACAAATTTATAATTAGCTACACGACATTGCAAAACATGCCACAGCATAAACAAAGAACTTCTTCAAGAGTTAAAGAAATGGGAATAAAAATGGAGGGGACAGGAAAAGAACATGACCAACCCAGGCTATTCTAACCCCCAGGCATACCAAACTGACAAGACAATTCCAGACAGGCACACAAACTCGAGCTAGCGAGCATGACAAGAACCGTTATCATGTGCTAGAATCTCGCTGGTTTCCCTGTACAAACCTACCGTACCTAAAACGAATTTCTTCCAAATCAAAGGGGTATTCTATTATACCAGTAGTGGGGACTCTGACACGCAAAATATCTTGCTCGGTTGGGAGGTAGTTTGGGGCAGCGACACGGTCGATTTCCATCAGGTAGCTGCAATGTAAATATAAGCTCAAAACAAATACACAGTACATTCATATCCAATCCTTGGAGACTGCAAAATACCCTCTAAATTTTAAGTAGCTGCCAACCATAGTTAGCTCAAAGTATGAGGGACAGTCAGTAAATAGGTCACAAATGGATGTAAAACAGCTGTAATGGACATAATAGGTTTTCTGCAAGTATCACTAGGTAGCAGCACAATCCAGTTTCATGACAGTCTAGGTAACAGACATGTGTACGCATGTTCAGAGGCTAGTTTCAGTAGTCAAAATGGTGACTGTGCTTGAGGAGTGTTCTACCAAAGATCAGCAGTCTGTTATGCAGTTTTCTGTGGGCGGAAGAACTCAACACAAAGGATATTAATAAATAAATGTTTTCAGTTTATGATGGGAAGCGTTGTTGTGTGAAGGGATTCACAACTGGGTCGAGAAATTCTCTCATGGGTGTTCAAAAGTCGTAAGTGATGCCCAACCAGGTGTGAAAGTGGCTGAGACAACAGTCAAAAACTTCTACACTGCGAGTTTTGACGTGCTGGTAAAGCAATGTGTTATCAATGTTGGTGGAGGATATGTCAAGAAACGAATGTTCAGTCCATGTTCAAATGCCACATGTTTTATGTTTTATATCCATCTGTGACCTATTTACTGACTCCTCCTTGTATACATCAAAACCAGAAACGTTTAACAAGTATCAAATTCTTTACTGTACCTTTTGCTATAATCAAGTTAAGTGACTTTCAGGGACCTGATCAGTTCAGTGCACATCATGGTATTTTGCATGAACTCTATTCTTCACAAGTAGTAGACTACCACTATCATCTGAAATGTTTAACTTACTTTGATGATATGAATTGGTGATACCAAATTTCCTCAATACTTGCTTTTAGATCATTATCCATGCTGCAGCATAAATAACTGTAATACAACACTTGAAATACCAGAACTGAACCACTGAACTATGGGGTATGAAAATAAAGGACTAGGATGAACGTTTCTGTGCAGCAACTGGAATTACTGAAAAGATGGCAAGTACTATACTGTAAGGATACATGTGTCAACAGTTGAACAGTCACTTGGATTCAGGTAGCTTTGTGGTTGATGTTTTTTTCATGGCATGTATTTTTTGTCAAAATTCAATGTTAAATTTTTAATGAAATTGAGAAAAATGCCACTGACATTTATAAAATGTTACAACAGGTTAACAGAGATGGAACAATGATGAGAACACAAGTCTTTATGTAGATGAAGAAATTTAAAGTCCGAAGGGAAGTTGTTTGCAGACAATGTAAGATATGGTAATCTGAGGCCCCTTAAAAGAACCATTCAAAGTGTGGGGTAAGGCGTCTGAAATGATGAGATGTGGTAACCAGTTGACTACTCAAAAAACAGAAGAACAAATTAAAAAGAAGACAGAAACTATGAGACTGACTTGTCGGTGACCATCTGAACACAAACAAAGTCTGTGCCCAAAATAGAACAAAAAATATCACCAGCATGTGAAGATTTTCTCAGGTCATGACAAGAAACAATGAATACAGATGATACAGCACAAACCAGAAGCAAAATGCTAAAGTGTTCATTCCAGAAGTTCAGTCTCTTGAGACAATATGAAAATCAAAACCATGCTCTCACAAGAATGTGATTTTCATTACAGCACTGTCAGTAAAGCAATTTTGAGCTACAAATCAAGCAAGCATTTACTACACTTGCCTAATATGATGGACTTTTCCATGTACCCAAATCTAAGGAATAACTCAAATTCCTTGCAAGTGTCTCATTTTGAATAATGTGAAGACTTTCTTAGCATTGTGATGATAGTACACATGGACAAAACAAACAAAACAAACTCCGTGGCTTCAGTCAGCAAGCGAACTATAGCGACCGCTGCTTGTTGGTAAAGTTAGTGCCAACTTTAGCAGATAGAGGGTGTGGCATGGTCAGAGCAACAGATCCCCACAGCCATTATATTTCGGTTTTCTAGACCGGAGCTGCTACTTTTCCATTCAAGCAGCTTCTCAATTATCCTCACGAGGCTGAGTGGATCCCATTCCAGACCCACTACTTCTCAGAAAATCTGGTAGCACTGGGAATCGAACCTGCGACCTGTGCATCTGTAGCCAGGAACTCTGACCACTACACAACAGAGGTGGTCTAGTACACACAGAACTTGCAAAAAATAATTTTTCTTCACAACAGTCCTGCTTACCACATTTCACAAAACTCGTGTAATTAAAAAAATATTCCCAAAATGTCACCTGTGTCCAGCGAGAAGTTCCCTCTATTCTCTGTAACATGAAATGTTTTCCTTTCAAAAAACCATTACACCACTTTCTACTTATCCATTATCATTATCCGTCCCCAGTGTGTTAATTAACAGATATTATATTCATTGGTAGATTCTTTCACACTGTATAAAGAAAGTATATCAAAAATTTCAGCAAGCCGTTATTCTGACAACATTAAAAGTGGACACCATGGTCTGCAACTCAGGAAGAAACATGTAGTTCATTCAGTTTCATAAGAAAACATTATTTCTTAAATAAAAAACTATCAGGCCAAGCATATGATGACATTACAATGTAAAAATCATCAAGAAGTTATAAATAATTCTCTGGCAGAAAAAACGATTGTCTTGCCATATACAGATATGAGAAGAGCCAACTGCATTCATTCCATTCAGCTGCAAAGGTCTCTATGAGATACTAATTCTGACCAGTCAACTGGTACAGCACATAAAGAGAGATATGGAATACTCTGTCCAATAATACATTTTAGAATATTTAATTTTCCATGCCAGTATTAGTAATTCTGAAAAAGAGAAATATAAAGATAATAGTTTTACCTTTCAGTATGCACTGAACACTCATGGACTTTATTAAAAATTATTCATATGCAGGACACCACATGATAGTGGCATTACCGTTGCATCAGTGTACTGACCTAATGTATACACTATGTCTGTGTGCACTGAAGGGTTAGAGACAGAACAAAAAGTGACATATGATTCCTTCTACACCAACAACCTGTTTGAGTTTTACTTATTAGATTTTCTGCACCTTTCCACACTGTTTCTGGTGTTGAACTGAAATTACATCATTGGCTAAAATATTTCTGGATGCAACAACTCACTATTTGGCAGAGTCAGTGAGCTGGTATTCACGTCTTCTGTCGTAGCACTCTTGGATACCCGCATCTGCCCAAAGATCCTTGATGGCTTCCACATACGGACTCTCAAACGTTGTTACTGTTTCATAGTCCACAGTGCGAATAAGTTCTGCCTTATCCTGAAAAACGCATTTTATATCATTTTAGTATCCCTTGTTGTCATACATCATTAAATGCTTATTAAAAAATTCAGACTTTATCAAAACATTAATTCAATAAACTTCTCTGCTTATAAATCAGGGCTGCACAAATATGAGCATGGCTGGCATGTTTACTGGTTATTCCCCCTTGCATATTCCTTACTTCACTGGCTCTACAGCCCGCTTCGGCCCTGGCCTCTGATCTTTCAGTTTCATGATCATTTTACAGATGGTAGGACTCCTTGGATGAGTGACCAGCTCATCATAAGGCTTCTACCTAAACACAGGACAACACAAACACAGAATAAACACATACAGATCGACTCCACAATCCAAGCTTCCGAGGGAGCGAAGAGAGTACATGCCTTGGGGAGGCCGCACATCAACCGCATCAAGACAAGCATCAAGACATGGGACAAAAGACGCAGTCTTGCTTCATTTGTGATTCGTTAGCATCATGACTCAGACCGGTGTGTGGTGGTCTTCATAATCTCATTCATTTCAACTGTGCTCCTTTCTTTGCATCATGTTGCAGACATTGTGTCTTAACTGTTACGTGTCTTGACACGGCCTACCTCAGACCACGCGGCTACCGTGACTGGCTCCCCCCTTACATACAGTATATAACATTTTATTCAGACATCTCTATACCACAGCACATATGAAAAAAAAAAACCCTGAGGGTACACCGTACCTTATATAGGCAAATTTATGGAAGAAATGTTCTGTGTGATCAACAAGACCCCCGGTATGGTGATTTTTGTTTCCACTTTACTGAAAATATGAATCTAGCAACTTTCTAAGAATCATTCGATGATCTGCATCACTATCTGAAGACGGGGCACCCTCAACTACATTTCAGAGAAGCAACAGTTCAATACACAGCTGAGCTAAAAGTTGCCTCTCATTAATACAGGTTGAGGGCATAAAGAAATGTCCCCATTACTTACAATGTTTGAAGATTCTGCATACTGGATCTTAAGTAAATCCATGGCTCTTATCATACTTTGCATTGCCATGAAGATATTCTGGTACACAAGTTTGATGAAGCCACGCTTGTCTTCATCTGAGTACCCTGACCCATGGATGATTCTCATCTGTTTGATGAATGTTGACTTCCCTGACTCTCCTGTGCCTGTTGAAATGGAAGGACAAAAGTGTTACTTCAGTTTATAGACTAAACCCAGCAACTGAAATATGTAGGAAGGAATACTATGGACTGGGTGACTGGGGTTTCATCCCTGACAGGACCTTACTGAAGTGTAAAGAATGGTAGTAGGGCCCATTCAGCCTCTATCCTAAACGTAGCATGGCTCCTTCCCTGGTAGTAAAACTATGAGGGCTGGTGGGTTGCTGAGCAGTCTGAACATTGCGGACAAAAAAAAATACACTGACCTCACAAGGAATCCAACCTCGATTCCTCAATAATGAAATCAGCAGCCTAGTCCGCAGAATGAGGGGTGGAGTCCAGTTGGGTCCACTCGGCACAGTGGCCACTGATTGGCCTAATGTACCTGCCCCGGGTGATTATGATGATGGAGAATTTGGTGGAATGAAGGTTGGTAGGGGAGATCGAAGTACTTGGAGAAAACCTACCCCAGCGCCACTTTGTCCACCACAAATCCCATCTGACCAGACCCGGGTTTGAACCTGGGCCGCTGTGGTGGGAAGCCAGCGACTAACCGCTTGAGCTATGGTGCGGCCTTGCAGCAGCCTAGTTACTTTACTGACTGCGCTATCCCAACTATGGTCAAAATATGTTATGAATAAAAAAAACATGCTTCATTTCCGCGGCTTAACGTTACCATTTATTCAGAGTTGTGCAACATAACCTCATCAAAACGTTCATAATTTTTAATATACAAATAAACCTTTCACACACTGTTTACTGGTATGTTTATGCTTTACTTCCCCTCCAGTTTTCAAATACCTATNGCTGGTGCAGGTTTTTTCCGAGTACTTCGGTTTCCCTTGCCAATCTTCATTCCACCAACTGCTCCACAATCACCCTCACCTATCAGAAGTGGCCAGAAGTGGCCACAGTACAAGGGGCTTAGTCCCACACCACTAGTCATAAAGTAAAACCATTGTACAATGATGAGTTGGCCTCAACAGTGGCATGATGCTCATACCAAAGTTTAGGAAAACCTGCAGACTGGCCTGAAACTTGTCTATGTATATGACAGAACACTTATTTGTCCTCAAAAATAAGGAAGAGATGTTTATGAGAACTTTAATGATCTTCCCCAGACCACACATGCCGGAACATTGCTGCTATATTATTAAAAGGTATTACATATATAACTTGAGATACACCAGAGTGCCCCTTATAAGCACTGGTTCTTCCAAATAATCTCCATTTCTGCCCGCCAGTTCCAACTGGCACAATAATCCTACTAGTAACTTGCCAATATAAGCAGGCACATTCCTCAAATACACACTTCAAACCTGTAGATGAAGGCAACCTCCGAAACAAAACTATACCCAGAAGATCAAAATCCTATCACTGACATGAAATCCTCAAATTTTATGACTGATGCCGGAAGCAGCGTCATCAGCAGCGACTTGAAGCCGAGAGCAAATGATGCTCGAGATGGTTCAAGTTCGTATAGCAACAGGCGTGACCAGAGTGGTTTGAACGACTGTTGTACTGCGATGTGGAAAGCAAATGGAAAAATTACCACATTATCACTTTTCCTGGATAGGCTCTTTCCAAAAACAGAGATACCACGTATGCGAGATCCAGAAGACGAGAAAGAAGACGTAAGAAGATGCTGGATGACCTTGGGGACAGAAGAGGAACTGTTTTGGAAGAGACTGTGGACCTGTCGTCTGACAGATTATTGATGGATGAATGAATGAACTGGATATGTTCCCTGTTCATTTTTCACCTATCTTAATAGTCTGAAGTTTACCGCAAAGGTAAAGGCCCTGTGCTTAATTAAGCACCAAACCATTAAGACATATGTGGGAAGCAGAGGTATAGCTATACCACTTTTGACCTCGGCACTAGATACAAGCTGCTTTAGCCCTAGGGAAAAAGCCCCTGGTACCATTGGATAGGAGGCTGTGTGGGCCCCAGAGTCAATGTGGACGCTGTGGAAAAGAGAAATATCTTGCCCCTACCAGAAATCGAACTCCGGCCGTCCAGCCTGTAGCTATACGACTTACAATGCTGACTCACAAACGCATACAGAAACATATATCTATAAGAGACAACCTGAAACAAATGAAACCTTAAGGACACTAACGCTTAACCTGTAAATACATATCACATCTGTTGTTCAAGTTTTGACTGACAGGAGGGGAGGCAATGTGCTCGACCTCGCGTGTCAGCCGGGTCGAGGGTAAGGGTGAGTGTGAGATTAGTGCATATGCTAAGGAAACCTAAGTCACGCCCTCAACATCGTTTTCGCCATGCCTTTCAAGATTATCGATCAGAAGTTGTCCCTTCCGCCAACATGAGAAAAGTAAGAAACCGATAACGCACGGGGCTCAAAACACGGAACTTCGAACAACGAAAAGATCGGTAGCAGGGAACACAGGCTGGGTTGAAATATCAGTGCAACGTTCAGCACCTCCTCACACAAGCTCGCCTGTTTCTTTAATCACAACAGAAAAAAAAAAGTAAAGCTATCCCTGCTAACAAGCAGCAGAGGTCCATAGGGTTGTGAGACGTCGAGACTATCACATTTTCTAGACAATCAGCTCACAGATGGCGGTGAGGTTGTCAGACTTACGCGCCGGTCACCCTTTACCAAGAATATTCAAGAAGATTCCTGGTACTCATTTCTGTTAGAGGCTGAGCCGACGCCAGGGCCATAGTGCGGCTGGAAGGATTAGGTCAATTGAAAAAAATCCACCTCATCTGGATTCGATCCCACGACCTTCCGGCTTGTAACATAGTGCCTCAACCTACTACGATGCCTTATATCCAAAAATCAGCAGATAGGTCATTTAGCGTCCTATTCTGAGGTACTATTCCAGCGTTTACCAGAAGTAATAAGAAAAACCAGGAAAAACCTCTCAGGGCAACCGGTATGCGGACAGAGAGTCGAACCCAAGACATCCTGAATACGAGGCTGAAGCGCTAATCATCACAACACCACGCGTGGTAACTTCTATTATGGTTTACTTTATGACGCCGTATGAACCCGACGGAAAGTAAACATCAATTAATCTTCAGATGTCCTGTCTTCTGACACCTCACATTCTCTCATGTGGTTAAGAACGTTTCGGGTGAACCTGCCTCCATCTACAGGATAGAACTGTCCTACACGGAACTTGGCTATAAAGTATGAAACCCGCACACAGGAAAGCGCGGCCCTTGTAGGAGTCCCTTACGGGGATTTAAATCTTAGAACTGTGAAAGGTGCAGGCATGGAAGATTTGCTGGGCCTTATAAAGCATTTGCTTCTTTCTCTACGGCTATACAGCCCTTTGGACCTTGGCCAGTTCCATAATCCTATACATATTCGGTAGGACTCCTTGGACGGGGGGATCAGCCAGTCGTAAGGCCTCCACCTATACACAGGACACCAACATAATAAACGCACACAGACCTTCATGCCTTGAGTGGGATCCGAACCCACGATCCCAGTGTTCGACGGTTCATGCCTTAGACCGCGCCGCCACTGTGATCAGCCCCATACACATCATACCAAGGGGAAAATTGAAACAGGAAAGATGCGTTCTCTGCCGAAAATCAAAAGACTGCAACTCAAAATAGGAGTCAGTAAAATGTTCCAAGGCATTTATGTCGTGAGCCAGATGAATCCAGCTCAAAGCACCCTTTCCCATTCTGTTAAGATTAATTTTAATATTAGTCTCCCATACACACACAGATGTATGTATGTATGTATGAATGAGGGGTGGTACAAAATCCGGCCCTTGCACCGCGACCAACAATAATCTATTGTGCTTCCCCTTTAATTAACCCCATATTAATCCCACTACGAATGAAATGTAGGACTTCATTTATGGGGGCGTCACAGTAGTCGCTTGGTTCCATAAAGAACTGGCTTAGGTGACGAAATCTTAAATAAGCTATGGCCTCACAATCGCATAGAATATGTGTGCTGATTCCGTCTTCTCTCCGGCACCTTTCAATCACAGTTTGAAAAGGTGTCCTTTTAGGTGGTAGTGTCCTGTGAAGAGCCCTACCATCCATCTTACACGCATAGTTAGTTCTTGTTAAGTTCTCGCTTTGGATTTGCCGGCAAAATACGTATTCCGCGATAACAGTCCTCTGAAAGTGTACATCCAGTGTTACCACTTATAATTTATAAATACGTAAGAATGTGGTCCGTATTTTATATGCACTTCCTTCACTGTTAAAAACCTAACTAGCAAGGCAAGTGACCATTTGATATGAGGCGTAATTCGTGTATTTCTATAAATTTGTTTTCAAACATAAACATAAGGGAGCTGGGCTAACTCAGTCCGTACAGCGACGAGCCAGTCTTGAAGAAAGACTGACAAAAAAAACACACACGAAAAACATCAGTCGCATTAGCCCATGGCCCGGTAGAAAACCGAAACAAGTACCCCCCCAGAACATGAGTCAAGGGCGTTCAAGCTATGCCATCCCGTTCGGTGACGCCGTGTAAATCCACAGCTATGAACTGCCAACTCAGGCGAGGAAATTACAACTATCATGGCGAGTATTAACAAGAGCTGTTCCTGAAAGTTCCAAAAATACAGTCTCGCTCCGTTTTGACCGGCGCAGATCGACAAAATCATGAAAGGGGTAAGGGGGAAGTAGGCTATATGTACAGAGAGAGAGAGAGAGAGCGAGAGAAGGCATGAAAGAGAACCCAGAATGAATGAACGCATAGGGTGATGACTAGCTACATCAACCTCCCTTCTGACCCATCTGGTTCTGTAACTACAATAGCTCTGAATGGTGATCAAAAGACTTGCCTCATGAACTTCATTTCCTAAAAGCCATTAAGGGCCTGTATCGATCTTCCTGGCTCCATTCCACTATATAACACGTTGACACATTCATAAAACTTGCTCAATTCATTGCGGATTGGTTGGTGACCAGGTAAGCGTGAAATCGCCTTAAGCAGGTCAGAGATGAATTCAAACTTCTTTCCTATGTTTGTGTTGCAAGGAAATATTAATGAATGT